CTAGTGACACCCAGAGAGGGCAACAGCAAGATGTTATCCTCAGTGTCTCTCACGGAACCTGTAGCTCACCTTTGGGTTGTCTGGCAGACCAGCAAGCCTCACAGGTCCATTTATCTCTGCCCCACTAGTGCTAAGGTTATAAATGCTGGAACTGCTGGGTTTTATATGGGTACTGGGGATCTGAACTCAGGTCCTCAGACTTTCGCAGCAAGAACTTAACTCAGAGCCAGCCCCTGAAACCATTTTTACTCATGTCATTTTTCTTTCAAAGCCTTCAGTGGCATCTTACAACCCATTAATCCAAAGCTGGAAAGTCCTTCTCCATCCCTAGTACCGATAGAAGGCCTTTTCAGTCTTCAAAGGTTGGCCAGATTGTCATGACTTAAAATTTTTTTTATTATAGTGTGTGTGTGTGTGTGTGTGTGTGTGTGTGTGTGTGTGTGTGTGTGTGTATTTGTGTGTGTGCATTCATGCTACAGCACGCATGTGGAGGTCTGAGGACAACTTTTCCAAGTTGGTTCTCTCCTTCTACCTTTATGTGGGTCCCAGGGATCAAACTCAGGTCCCCAGGCTTGTGTAGTAAATGCCTTTCTTTACCTGCAGAGCCATCTTGCTGGCCTGTATATCCTTTTTAACACACAGATTTCCCACCTGAGTGAGAAGTATTCTGTTATTGTACATTCCACAAATAGGCTTATCCAGATGTCCCAGACCCCGTGTGTCTGTGTCTGACCTGCCCCAATGACAGAAAGTTCTTGGGTTAAGGGTCATGTCTGAAACCATGTCACACAGCACTCAGCTCCTTTGCTGACCAGCAGATCTAGAACTGTGACTTGTAAGTGGAAAGAAACTGTTCATAATGTAGTATTATGCAAAAGCTGGTAGAACATTTTTCAACACCTTGGGTTACCAAAGGCAAACACGTGCAATTTCCATTTATAAAAGCCCTGAGGACAGTTATCTGATATTAATTAGGCACTGAGGGAATTAAGCTTTGAAGATGATCATATTTTCTCACAAACAGGCTTACATTAGACTTCAAAGTAAATCAAAAGACTGCCAGAAATAAGAAATGAGCCTCGGTTTATCCACAGTCATACAAAGCTCAAATTAACAGTACCTCAAATCTGGGTCCAAGAATTACATTTTGCTAGTGTGGTCAGACACAGCCTTTAAAAGAAACTTCTCAAAACAAACAAACAAAAATCTCAAAAAAAAAAAAAAACCCAAAAAACTTCACAATTACTTTCCCAATCCCAAATATAACAACAGGCATGATTCTCAAGTTTTGTTACATAGGATGCAATACATAAATTCTTTTTGTTTTCAGGTAAAAGGCTAATAGGCCAAATTTTATTAAATTTCTTCAGGATAAAATATTGGCTAACACAGTGCAAATAATTAATCCATATTGAAAAATCTAGTAAAGGGTAGATTGGTCCACAGCACCAGTACCATGCCCATGACACCGGATTACTTGGACATTTGGGGGCTGCCTCAGCGCACTCCTGGAATATAGATTCAAGTTATGAGAAGAGATGCACCCTGGGGAGGGAGAGTGTTCCTGATAGCAACGGAAGCCCGTGGCTGACAGGCGAGTTCAAGCTGGGCCTGGACCTTCCCAATCTGCCCTCCTGAACTGATGGGTCACATAAGGTCACCTAGAAGGACATCCTGATCACGACTAGCAAGCACAACCCATGTGGGGAGACAAAAAAGATTTTGGAGAATCCAGGCTCTAGATGTCTCCAGTCATCCGGCCAGAGTGCGCTCCTTGGTTCCGGGGAAGCAGCCACAGTTTTTCAGTGGTATCACCTCTGTGGATTTTCTCACTTATCACACGCTTGACCTGTATTTAAACCCAAGTGCCTCCCCCGCAACACCCCAACACCTTTTTTCTTTGGGTCACCATCTCATTATGTAGTCCTGGCTTGCCTGGAACTCTGCAGACCAGGCAGACCTTGAACTCAGAGAGATCGGCCTGCCTCTCCCTCCCAAGTGCTGAGACTAAAGACATGCACCACCATGACCTGCTCTAATTCTTGTGGTACCCGGGCTTTAGGGGACAGACTGACTTCCTATAGTCCTGTCGTCACCTTCTCCTTTTTTCGGTCCCCATCCTGACTCCAGTTACAGACCTTCTTTTTTAATCACCAAACCCCCAACCCACTCAGGCCCTTTGAAGCCCAGTGTCAGCCAGCACAACACCTTTCTGACGTGACCGGTGTCCTGCACTAACTCCCACCTGAAGATCGTGCCCATTGGGTCTGTGCTGCTTTCAAGAGCCCAGCCGGGACCCTCCCCTTGGGGCTCAGCCTCTCACATAGACCTCAGATGCCTGGTGCTCTCCCAGCTGAGATCCCTGCTCACCCCGTCCCACGCTTATAAAGCCTGAGCTGCAGGTGCTCTGGCTTTGCACGCACCAGCTTTTAGTGCTACCTTAAAGGACTACCTGGAGATTCCAGGTCATAGACACTCACAGCAGCAGCCACAGGAGGCTGTGAGCTCAGGAACCTTTTGGGACCTAGCATCCATCCCTCTTCCACGATAGTGTTACTGAGGCTTGTTATGCACTTGTCAGGGGTGAGGACCCAGGCTAAGACTGCCCAGAAGGGAGCCAGTATCCTCTCCACCTTCTAGATGTGTGGCTAGGTTAGAGCTGGAGATCTCCAGGCTCCTGTATGGTTGGTCTTTGATGCCCTCAAGGTGTCTTGTCCTGACTTGCTGCTCAACTGGGATGGGGACCTCTTCCTTGGGGAATCCTTTCTCTCCCTGAGCCCCCTGTGAAACAAATTTATCCATGCTTCCATAACTTAAAATAAAACACAACAGTTAAAAGTAGGACCATGTGGTTGTGGTGGTGTATGTCTTTATTAATCACTTGAGAGACAGGGGCAGGAGTATATCTGTGAGTTCATGGGCAGCTTGATCTACATAGTGAGTTTGAGGACAGCCAGGGCTGTCCAGTGAGACCCTGTCTAAAACAAAAAGAAGGATGATGTTTATCCCAGCATTTGCTGTTTGTGTTGCACACCACAGAGCTGCTTTATTCTGAGATTAGATGGGGAGTTGCCATTAAAGCTTGTTGCATCAAAATTCATATTTGTAAACCCAATTCACACATTTTTGTTTCATAATTTTAAAAAGACTCAAATATGTTTCCTTACATGGTATTTAACCTCCGTATTTTAAGGATATTTGTGTTTTGAACACGGCTTTATAGACAACACTTTTATACAAATACAGCTGTACTGTAGTAGAAAGAAAGACGCTACAGAGTGAACCTTGAGGCAACACACAGATCCTTTGCTCTTGTGGGATAGCACCCTTCTGGTGCCATCTATTACAGTAAAGCAAGGTGCAGCTATTTTAAACTTGCTTCTTGTGGCTCCAACCTTTATTTTTTTTTTATTTTTTTATTTTTGGTTTTTCGAGACAGGGTTTCTCTGTGTAGTTTTGCGCCTTTCCTGGAACTCACTTGGTAGTCCAGGCTGGCCTCGAACTCACAGAGATCCGCCTGGCTCTGCCTCCCGAGTGCTGGGATTAAAGGCGTGCGCCACCACAGCCCGGCGGCTCCAACCTTTATAACTAAGAAGTCCACTGTGAATTAACAATGTAATTAGCTCAAAATCAAGAGCATTCCGGCCACTGGCACATCTCCACCAATACTGCTGACAAAGCTCACTGAAAACAACCCACTGTGGTAACAGACACGGCACTGTGGCAAAGCTGTAGGGGATAACATATTTAGACTGTATGCTGTCTGCCCACTATTATTCTGTCTCTCCATGTTATTATACTCTTATAGTCTAGAATAAAAAAAGCACAATCTCGTAACACATCACAGGTTTCAGGAATGGTCCAAGTGTAATATGAGGAATGACGGTAACAGGAATTATTGTGGGGCTGAAAGAGACTGCCTGAAGCTACAGAGCAAACGATGATGGATTTAAAGGGAAAAGTGGGCAGTGAGGTAAGGGCGTGGCCTGAAAAATGATGCTAGACTCATCATACTAAGGAAGCTCTGAGGTCAGTTGTGGAAGGAAAGCTTTGAAAGGTGAGCTGGAGCCAAGTTACAAAAGACCAGGAGGGCAGGTGAGGCAGTTCAATGGGTAAAGGCGCTTGCTTCCAGGCCTGTCTACCTAAGTTCAATCCCAGGACCCACATGATGGAAGGAAAGAACCAATTCCTGCAAGATGTCCTTTGACATCCACACTGACTTTGTGGCATGCATCCCCCCACTATAAAGAATTGTGAAAAACCAAAACAAACTGCCTGGATACCAGCCTTAGAAGTCTGGACCTGGTTCTAAGGGATGGGTCTGGGATTCTGGTGTATACAACTATCACTTGGCAGGTAGATTGATGACTAGACAGATTCTGATTCCTAAAATGATTTAGAACTACATTTCAAGAGATTCCCTCAGTGAGTCCAGCACAAGCTGAGATGTTATCTTCTACAGAAATAAGAATCCCTACTGTTGCAAAGATTCTGTGATGGTTTGAATGCTTGATCCCCAGTTGGTGGAACTGTTTGGGAAGGCTTAGGAGGTGTGGCCTTGTTGGTGGAGATATGTCACTAAGGGTGGCTTTGAGGTTTCAAAAGCCTATACCATTCTAGTTGGCTTTGTTTCTCTGACTCATGGTTATTATCTCAATATGTAAGTCTCAGCTATTGCTCCAGCACGCTTGCCTGCCTGCTACCATTGCACCATGATGGTTATAGAATAACCTCTGAAGCTGTAACAAAGCCCCCAATAAACTTTATTTTCTAAGTTCCCTTGGTTTTGGTGTCTCTTCATAGCAATAGAAAAGTGTAGTGGGAGTTGCTTGCGTCCTTCTCCCATTTCTCAGGTATTATTATATTCCTTCACAGGTCTTTGATGAGATTGAAGACTTAATAGTTACAGTTGCAATTTTCTATCTTAGGTAGAACATATTAAGTATTAGATTCAGGTGTAGATGAACAGTCTTATTAAATAAGAAACACAGAGCCAAATGCAGAGTTAAAAGCCCAAGAGGTCAGAGCAATAGCTAAGAGCTAAAAACCTTACCCTTCACTGCCGCTGCTGTGTCTCCTCTCTGCAAGAGAACTACTTCCTGTGTGTTTGTCCTTTTTATTGACTTTCTGTTCTGCCTTCTCATTGGTTGTAAACCCAACCACATGACCTCCTCGTCACTGCCTGTCTGTACAGACCTCCAGGTCTTCTATGGTTGGTATTGAGATTAAAGGCGTGTGTCTCCATGCTGGCTGTATTCTTGAACTCACAGAGATCCGACTAGCTCTGCCTCCCAAGTGCTGGGATTAAAGGCGTGCACCACCACCGCCCAACTTCTGCTATGGCTTGCTATTAGCTCTGACCCCCCAGGCAACTTTATTAACATACAAATAAAATCACATTTCAGTACAAATAAAATATCACCATATTCAGGTTCTTCAGGATAGGGCACCTTTTGGAATGATCTCTGTAACGTGCCATCTACCCATGCTCCAGACTTCTCAGGATTTTTGTATGTATCTCTTGTTTGATATTGTTTGTGTTGGTTGTAGTTCCATCTTGTCTAGGTCATTATCCCTTATTCCTCCTGGACAATATTGGATAATCATTCCTATTGCACATAGTTTTGTATTAAGTTAGAACTTTCTTATTTAGACAAAAGTGGGAGATGTAGTGGGTAGCTGTTCCAGCTTTGACCTGGAAGTACTACCCCATTGAGGCTTCTGGTAACTGTCACGCCTACAAGTCAGGACTGAGACAGGAGCCCTTAAGACCCGAAATCTGGATGTGCTGGCTCTCTTGGTTCCTGGATCCTGGACGCTGGATGTAGACTGAGCAGAGTTCTCCAGAGAACACTGCTGGACTGCACTACACCTTTCCCGGACCCTGTAACCTATCCCTTTACTTGTAAGTTACCCCACAAAATAAACCTCCCTTTTAACTACGTGGAGTTGCCTTAATACTACAACCAATAGAAAAGTAACTAAGACAGATTTCCATTGTCCTATAAGTTCTGAAAAAAAAATTTTTTTTTAAAGTTTTTTGAGATGGGGTTTCTGTGTGTAGCTCTGGCTGTCCTGAAACTCACTCTGTAGACAGACTGGACCCAAACTCATACAGATCCACTTGCCTCTGCCTCCCAAGAGCTGGGATTAAAGGCACGCACCACCACTGCCAATTCTGAAAACTTGTTTACTTTTAGGTTCACAAGTCTCTCCGTTGACCTTATGTTTTTTTTTTCTTTAGTATTTTCAATTGTTTTTCATATTTTATTTATTGACTGATTTTGTGTATGGGTGTACAAGTGTCACAATGTGTGTGTGGAGACCAGAGGACAACTCTTGGGAGTTGGTTCTCTCCTGCCACATGGGTCCCAGGAATTGAACTCAGATCATTAAGCTTGGCAGCAGGTACCTTTGCCCCTGAACCATCTTGCTGGCCTTATGTTTATGTATTGAAAAGTACCTTTGCTCAACGGTGTTTCTTGTCTCTCAACCTCTCAGCTGTCTTTAGAGTTTTTGGCCCCTTGGACTTCACTCTTTCTTTGCAAGTTATTACCCAAGGTTCTGGCTTAGGAATAGTGGCTACATTAATGATCTGTTGGCTCCGTACTGACAGAATAAAAGTTACCAAATGGCATTATCAAATACTGCAGCATTCTTTGCCACTTGTCTTTGAGAATAACAACCACACTGTTATCACAAAAGAATGTCATGTTAATTTTTACTCTTGGTAATCAGAACTCACTACGGTTGATTGACTGTATCAGGAACCTTGATTCCAACCTCCGAAGTGTAAACTTTGTCCTGCAGATAAAGTCACAACAGCTTCTAAGCCGTGCAGTACCATAAAGACATGTTCTAGAAACACTGCCTTGAAGACAGCTTCCAAGAAGGTATATGAACCGTCAAAATGAACACTATTTAAAATCATTCTCAAGGTGGGTGTTCAAAATGAAAAGGAAACTTTTCTAGTAATAGTAATTCTTCCTCTTCAGAAACTACTTTTTTTTTTTTTTTTTTTTTTTTGGTTTTTCGAGACAGGGTTTCTCTGTGTAGTTTTGGTGCCTGTCCTGAATCTCGCTCTGTAGAGCAGGCTGGCCTCGAACTCAGAGATCCACCTGGCTCTGCCTCCCGAGTGCTGGGATTAAAGGTGTGTGCCACCACCGCCCAGCCAGAAACTGCTCTTATTTGTAGTTGTTTTTTATACTCTTTGTGGGCACCCTGCTCCCAAATAAATACATAGAAACTTATTCTTCCTTATGAATGCCTAGCCTTAGCTTGGCTTGTTTCTAGCCAGCTTTTCTTAAATTATCCCATCTACCTTTTGCCTCTGGGCTTTTACTTTCTTGATTCTATATATCTTTTTCCCTTCTTACTCCATGGCTGGCTGTGTGGTTGGGTGGCTGGCCCCTGGAGTCCTTCTCTCCTCCTTTCCTTTTTTCTCACTCCTCCCTCTTTTTGTTCTTCTATTTATTCTCTCTGCCTGCCAGCCCCACCTAGTTCTCTCTCCTGCCTAGCTATTGGCTGTTCAGCTCTTTATTAGACCAATCAGGTTTTTTTTTTTTCTTTCCAGAGCTGAGGACCGAACCCAGGGCCTTGCACTTGCTAGGCAAGTGCTCTACCACTGAGCTAAATCCCCAACCCCAAAAGTAGGTAGTATCTTTTTGGGGGGGTTTGAGACAGGGTTTCTCTGTGTAGCTTTGCACCTTTCCTGGAACTCACTCTGTAGTCCAGGCTGGCCTCAAACTCACAGAGATCCGCCTGCCTCTGCCTCCTGAGTGCTGGGATTAAAGGCGTGCGCCACCACCGCCCAGTTCCAATCAGGTGTTTTAGACAGGCAAAGTAACACAGCTTAACAGAGTTAAACAAATGCAACATAAAAGAATGCAACACATCTTTTTATCATTAAACAAACATTACACAGCATAAATGAATGTAACACATATTAAAATAATACTTCAAAACATTTATTTCAATCAACTAATAGGTTGTGGGGCTGCAGAGATGGCTCAGGGGCTAAGAGCACTGGCTGCTCTTCTAAAGGACCTAGGTTCAGTTCCCAGCACCCACATGGTGGCTGACAGCCAGGTAATAATCGTCTGTAACTCTAATTCTCGAGGATCTGATGCTGTTTTATGGCCTGTACAGGTACTGCATGCATGCCTCTGACCTTCTTTTAATAATCTGAAGTAATGATAAAGGTGTGCTTCATTTTGCTTTATTTTTTTTTTAAAAAAAAGATGTGTGTGTGTGTGTGTGTGTGTGTGTGTGTGTGTACATGCACTTGAGTGCAGGGTAGAGTCCTGGAGCTGGAGTTACAGGATGCTGTGCATGGCCTGACATGGGTTCTGGGAGCTGAACTTCTGGTCTTTGGAGAGTACATGTTCTTAACCACTGAGCCTCCTCTCCAGTTTCCTCATTTTACTTTATATGCATGTGTTATAGACATTAACCCACATCTGTTGCACATTACATATAATATTTTCTACAAGTGGGTCCTAGATTCTAAACTGAAAGGTTAAAAAAACCCTTAGGGGTGCTTGGAGAGATGGCTTAGGAGTTAAGAGCATACATTGCTCATCTTAGCACCCACATCGGGAACAACCACCTGTAACTCCAGCTCCAGGGGAGCATCTAATCCCCAAGGGCCCCTGCACTCATGTGGACATACCTATAGACAGACAGACAGACAGACAGATAGACACACATGCTTGAGATAAAAAAAATAAAACCAACTTTTGAAAAATATTTAGGAAGTATATTGTTTGAAACATTGTAAAATCTTAGAAAACTGAGCCATAAGGCATCTACGTAAAGGACAATTCTACTTGTGCCTAGTTTAGTAAATAAACCAATGAACTGGCAACAAGTCCCACTCTAAAAGTTAGAGGATGGAGATGACTCTTCTGTATTGGATGACCACAGTGCTATCTTCATTATAGACATGAAAATAAAATGTGTATACTGATGGGCTTTTGAAACCCCTTGGGGGAAAAAAAAAAAACTATCAAAAGCTAAGGCGAAGTCATTTCCAAGTCTATTATTTTTCCTGCTTTCCCCTATCTGCCATCCTTTCTAATTAACAACCTTCCATGAACTTGGAGTACCTTTCTCCATAAGCATCTCAGGCAGTTTTTGTATGGAGAATTGCTTGAACTCCATCTAGGGCTGTGAGTCAGCATTTTACCTGGGCATAAAGTCAAAATGATTTAAAGTAAATAATGTAATCTTTTTGAAAGACATGCACATGTCCTTGGAGAAAATTTAGGGAAAAGTGGGGTTTCTAAGCTTATGAATAGTTTATTACATTTCAACAACTGTATTGTGAATCAATAAAACAAAAGTTAAGGATAATGAGCTCAAGTTATTGATTCTTAAGTTCCAAAATAGAACAGTACAGGAAAGCCATAAAAAAGGGATTTTGGGGTGTGTGTGCAATAGGAATTTAAAGTATCAGAACAGACCAAGGAAAGTCTGAGACACCAGGAAGGTTCCAGCAGCTGCCTTAGACTTCTAATTCTGGTAATTAGAAATATTCATTTTTCACTTTAAAAATACCTTTAAGTTTTTTAATATTTATTTTTATTAATTTTATATGCTATGTGCATGTGGGAGCTCTCCAATCCCCTAGATCTTTAGGTACAGACTGTTAGGAGCCATCCATGCTGGGCACTGAATCCAGCTCCTCTGGAAGAGCAGCAAGAACTCACTAGTCACCGCTACAACCTAGTTTTTACTCTTAAAAAATGTATTTTAAAGTCAAGTAGAGGAGTTTGCAAAAACCAGTGTTGCCTTTTACAAGTGACTCACTTATGTTCCCAATTTCTTTCTTTTTTTGAGACAGGGCCTCTTGATAGCCTTGGCTGTCCTTGAGCTTGCTATGTAGAGCAGGATGGCCTCAAGTGACAGAAATCTGCCTGTCTCTGCCTCCCAGGCGCTGGGATGAGAGGAATGTGCCACTATACGCAGCTTGGATGCAGGATTTTCTTGTGTAAACATGTTACAGATCTGTGTCTTCAAGATGAAGGGGAGAAAACCTAAGTAGAGTTCAGGCCCCTTATACCAGGCAGCAGCTGTGGAACGGATCTTTCAGAACTCAATTAGGTGTGTGTACGGTCCATTGGTGTCCAGCTTCAACACCTGCCTGTTCCCGTAGGTGCCGTGGGCCACTACAACCCCAGCTTCAGCGCACTTGCTGTTGGCGGCGAGCGCTTTTTCACACAGACCCACGAACTGGGAGTACAGCTCTAGGCCTTCCTCCTTCCCGGAGTTGGAGTGGTACTGCATGCTTCTTCCCTTCACTCTGCCTCCGAGGGTGGCCTGAGGGATGATGAGAACGTCACCAGGCAGGTCCAGGATGGAGACGTGCTTGCCAGTTTCTGTTTCACTTAATTTCACATTTAACAGCGTATTCACTGGGTAGGGAAGAAAGGGAACACGTTCTAAAGTGAAAACAAACAAGGAAAACCACCAATCTTTTCACTGGTTATCAAGTTTCATATTTAAAACCCAGTCTCTTGATGTTAAGGGGGAGGGGGGGAGGCTTTACTAAATGACACAGCCCAAACACACACACACACACACACACACACACACACACACACACACACACACACACCCGAGAAAATTCTGAATTTCATACAGAAAATACTAAGGTGCTTCAAATCTGATCCAACAATTAGGCTCTCCTATATGAAGTTCATCCAGAAAGGTCTACATCCAAAGAATTAACTGTACATTAGAACCTCAAATATTGTTGCCTCTGGGAACACATGGATGTTTGTTTCTCTGCTCCTTTTATTTCATAAGCAAATATCCTCTGGTTCAATTCCATTATGAATGATGATTTTGTAGTTTCACAATTTAAGGCAATATTAACATGGACTAACATTTTATAAATAAGGCCTATTGGGGAAATGCAAAGGTGAAATTCATTATTACAAATGGAAAAGTAAACAAAAGATACAGAGCTACTGGCAGCATAAATGTATATGTGTGTGTATACATATATATGTATACGGTGGAGCCTGGAGAGAAGACTCAGTTGTTAAAAGTACTGGCTACTCTCCCAGAGGACTGAGATTCGGTTCCCAGCATCCGCATGACAGCTAACACTGTCTCTCACTCCCGTACCAGAGGCTCCGATGCACTCTTCTGGCCCCTGCAGGCAAAGCATGCACACGGCACACAGACATATGTGCAGGCAAAACAGCCATACACACAAAGTAAAAACAAAACCTCAAAAACAAACAAGCAAAAAGCCAACCCTCAAACAAAAAACCCACAGTGATGTTTTCATAGCATCGAGACTGTTTACCCAAACCACCATGCACGTCTATGTGTATTCAGAAACCTAAACTCAGAATTTCTCAACATTAACCATTTCGAAGTAATAAAGATTTTTGTATGTCTAGACTTTGGTTCTCTCTCCCTTTACAAAGGTAAACATGATTTCTTCTCATCAAGAACAGAACAAGTAGTAAAGAAAGTCTATAAACCTTACGCTCCTGTCCTCAAATCATGCTTGGAAAGGCATACTTTCACCACCAGGCATGGTAGAGCACGCCTTTCACCTTAGGCAGAGAGACCTCCGAGTTCCAGCCCAGCCAGGGATACACAGATTTTTTTTTTTTTAAAGACATGCTTTCTGGTCTGGTTGATTTCAATTACTACCCATTCTGTAGTAAACATCAGTAAGGGCTTGGTCACTATCCTACTCTACAAATCATGCACTTATCACGGTAACAATCAGTCGATTCCTAGCCTAGGCTGCAAGCCTCATCACCTTTCACTGAACTCACATGTCTCTTTAAACTCCTTTGTAATTCTCTGTTGTGAACAGGTCTCTGCCTTACAGCCAGCAGCCTACTAACTACATCTCAGCAAACAGGACTCTCCTGAACACTTCATTGAAATCAAAATTATTAGTTAGCAAGCCAGGCCTCAGGCTTGGGACAGACTAAGTTAGCAATTCTGGATTAACAGGCAGTGAGCAATAATACCATTTTTATTGTACTTTCACACACCTCCCTCTACTGGCTGTAACTGAGAACTCACGTGTCTGTATGTAGAAGTAGATACAGCACAAAGAGAAACAGGCAAGTTGAATTGAAATTAGACAATAATAGCATGTTAGAAACTTAAAGAATGTAAGACAGGTTATTAAACACCAGTGACCCAGACAGGAAATCTAGCTTTGACAGACCCCTGATCTCGGTACTATTACACTAGAGATGAACCGAGGAAGATCCTATACATTTCTATGTTAGCTATGGTATTTCAGACTTCATGGACATAACTGGTTATATAAGGCTTGGTTGGAAAGGTCTGATCCATGAGTAAGTATGAGATGGGCCTTAAGAGAACCTCATCACACTGGCTCACTCACGGAATAGAGGGAAGTACAAACTAATCTCTCAATCAACATTTGTTGGTTAAACTATACATTAAAAGACTTAAGGAAGGCATCCTCTGTGTTTTCAATAGTCTTACCCATGTATTTAGAGTGAACTCATAAAGACAAAGACAGAAACATATAGGTTTAGTCACTATAAAGCAAACCGCAGCTTGGGCTTGTTGGGCTTATTTTACTTCGCTATGATTAAGACATCATAAGACAACTTTGCAAAGTCAATCTTTTTTGCTTTTTTTTTTTTTTTTTTCCGAGACAGGGTTTCTCTGTGTAGCTTTGCGCCTTTCCTGGGACTCACTTGGTAGCCCAGGCTGGCCTCGAACTCAAAGAGATCCGCCTGGCTCTGCCTCCCGAGTGCTGGGATTAAAGGCGTGCGCCACCACCGCCCGGCGCTTTTGTTTTTTTTGTGGTTTTGTTTTTTCAAGACAGGGTTTCTCTGTGTAGCCCTGGCTGTCCTGGAACTTACTCTGTAGACCAGGCTGGCCTCGAACCCAGAGATTTGCCAGCCTCTGCCTTCTAAGTGCTGGATTAAAGGCGTGTGCCACCACCGCCTGGCTACAAATGACCAACATTTTATTTTTGTTTTTGAAGAATCTTACTACATTCCTATGGACAACAAAGACGACCAAGGTAAAATACTAATTTAGGAAAACGAGCAGAACGTTTGACACCTCGACATCAGGACCTCATTTTCTTAGGCCTTCAAAGGCTCCTTATGCTCTAGATTCAAATTCCAAACTATTAGTTACTAGCTTTCCACCCTCCCTGTCACAGGCCTCTCTCAAGGTGTTTTCATGCCTTGACAAAACTGTCAAGTAAGTTTGATATATTAGTGTAAAATTTCCTTAGTTTTGACTTCTTGGCTATCTGTCCATGAGCTTCATTTTCATTAAGCTTGTCTAGGTTAACTTCTGTAAGCTTTAACTATCTGTATTGTTTTTTCTTTGGTGACATGGCCAGCTCTCTTGTTCAGGCTGGCCTCCAACCCCAGAATCAAGGGATCCTCCTGTCTCAGTCCCCCAAGTAGCTGTAACTATAGGCACATGCTGCTGTGCTCAGCTTAAATTACTATTACTCTTTATGTGCCGTATTTTACCAATGCGGAGCATATAAACTGACCCCAATCTGAGGAATAGTTCCAGTATTTCAGGTTTTTTTCTGAGTATAATTTTTGAACCAAATACTGCCTTGTACCAGTGTCATTCAATTCAGTACATCTGAGCCCATGGAATTATCTATCACAAGGAATGTGCAGGGCCATAGACTATATAGGATACTGGAAAGCTGTTGCAGGTAAGTTATTGTTTTGTGATTCCTGAGCATTTACTCTGTTTTCTATATCCTCAAGAGCAAGTGTGGCTGTGATAACACTAAGTTTGGTTCAAGAACCAGGAGAACTATATTTGCACATTTATACAAAAACCTACATAAACGGTTGCTATAACTTCTCCTGTATCAATGATATAAGGCTGGGCTGTTTAGATTTGATTGGACACACATGCTGTACATACACTGTCATCTACTGCCCCATTAGGGATGCTCTTATCTGATGGGGAGAGGGATGGGAACACGGAGGACGAGGGGGGACAAGAGAGGGTAATGGGAAGTAAATAAGGTCAAAGTACGTGATATACTTCTATAAAACCTGTCATTTTGTAAAATGAATACACACACACACACACACACACACACACACACACACACACACACACACACACAGAGTTGTGGGGCGTGGTAAAGAAAGCCAGGCAGCATCTGCTTGGAACTCCGTGGTCACCCTACTCTCAAAACCTTCCACACTCTGGGCAGAAGTTGTTATGTATATGGGCTTATGGGTCTCTCTCCTAAATCAGTCTACAAACCACCTGCAATATGGTGATATTTTAAATTGCGCCATATTACATTCTTTAAATTTTATAATAAGCAATATAATTAATACACCAGAACAATTTAGGATCGTGCTTCTTGGGGCTGCAGAGATGGCTCAGCAATTAAGAGCACCTGATGCTCTTCCAGGGAACTTGGGTTCTAGTCCCAGCAGCATATGCAGCTCACAAGCTCCTGTAACTTGGGTTCCAGGGGATCTGATGCCCTCTTCTGACCTCTGAGGGCATCAACATACATGCAGGCAAAACACCAATACACATTTAAAAAAGAAGAGGAAGAACCAACCAACCACCCACCCTGTGCTCCTGCAGCGGGGCCTGCCAGCCTAGCTACTCCACAGGCTGGAGCGAAAAGACTGCACACTCAAGTCCCTCCTGGGATGCAGAAGGAATTGAAGGTCAGCTGGGTAAATTGTCAAGACCTTGATTTAAGAGTTTTAGGGGAAAAAAATACCAGTTTACAAAGAATTAGGTCTCATTATGGCATTTTTTTTTTCATTCAAAATGTTTTTGTTTGGATGTTAATTGCTAAAAAGGGCTTAGGATATAGTGCAGTGGTGGAGCACTTCCTTAACATGCTCTAGGCCCTGGCTTCAATTCCCAGCACCACAGTGAAATAAAACAAAGTAAAAGTAAGATAAATTATGCTTCTCAGAGGAGGTTACAGGTCAGTGGCAGAGCACTTGCTTGGTACAAGGCCTAGGTTCAACCCCAAGCCCATCAATAACAAAACAAAATCCACCATCACCAGCACAGTGGTGCTTGCACTTTTTGTTCATTTGCACGCTCATAGTCCCATCTTTGCACCTTTATTCATCCTACATCATAATGAGTCTCAACCCGACATCCCCATGCCCCTCTCCCTGTGAGAAGACAGAAAACATACCCATTTTGGGAAGAAGTTCTTTGTCCGCTCCCTTGAAGAAGCACACATAGATCACTAATCCTCTCTGGATCTGTGAGAAATCACCACAGGAGTCTAGATTAGGAAGGAGTCTACAGAGAAACAGCTCAGTTCACAATGTTTCCAAGAATGGGGTTAAAAGCCAAGAGAGAGAAACAAGAATAATCTTGAATTCTAAGTAAATTATGAGAAACCAAAATCTTCCTCAAGTCTCAATCACCATGATCATTTATTTCAAAACTTAAGATGACGTTATAGTCAAGAGCAGTGAAAATCACACATCACACCTTCATTTATTTCTACTAAGTCACAGAACTTTCCAGCAGCCTCACCCCACCAGGCAAGGCTGACAGCCTTAGAAATAGTCTGCTTGCAGGCGGATTTATCCCTCACCAAATGAACTCCTGTTGGAGCACACAGGACTGTTGAATAAGCAGCGGTGTCCCGGATGTCTTCTGATGCTCCTCTTTATTTTCCCCTCAGTCATTTATTTAAAGAGAGTAGTATTTCCTATGTCTACAAGCTCCAGGGAACTCTTCAGTTGCTTTTTCTGTTAGTGTGGCCAATGCCTTAAGTAAACTCAATGATTAGGCTTTGAAAATCACATTTGTGCCCATAATTTTATATGAAAAGGTTGGCTGTTATCAGGAATATAGATTTATTCATCCTATATAATGACTTGGACTTTTTTTTTTTTTACTAGTTCCTGTAAGACAGACCACAAGAAAATACACAAGAGATAAATGACTATGAAGCTACTGTTGAAGGAATCCTTTGAGCTGTGAGTCTATGCTAATCTGCTTGACGCCACGAGCCTCACTTGACTCAGGAGCAACCACAAATATGAAAGGCGTTAATAACTGCAAACTACTTAAAACAGTGCTGGGTTCACAGTAAGGACGAGACAGGTGTTTATCAAATGCTATATAAATAAATTTAAAGGCTGAGGCACAGTTTATAACTGCCAGAGGCAGAGGCAGTGTATTTCACATTTCAGCTGTCAAACAATTTTGCATGCTTTATACATGATTGGGACTCAATTTAACAGTTAGTGGTATCAACATTTAATTATATCTTTCTGGCTCTGTTTACCTAAATGGTATAAATATAGCTCTGCACTCATACTTGGATTACCTGGAAAAACATTTACTTTAATTATGTGTAGGTGTTTGTGTGTGTGTGTGTGTGTGTGTGTGTGTGTGTGTGTGTGTGTGTGTGTGTGTGTATACAATGGCAGGAGCCTGTCAAGCCTAGAGGAGGCCACCAGATCCCATGGAACTGGAGTTACAGGTGACTATGAGCCAGCGTGCTTGCTGAGAACTGAACTTCGGTCCTCTCTAGGAGCAGCACTTGCTCTTAACTGATGATCCATTTCTACAGCCCAGTAGTCTTTTTTTTTTTTTTTTTAAGGGCAATTGTACTTTTCTGTACCATAGGCAAGCACCTCCAGTCACATCTATGGTTGCGGGGCTGGCCAGTGAGTCACAGATATCTATAGTACTATAAGAAGAAGTCTCTCCACCAACAGAATTCTGAACTGCAGCCCATATCTTCCACAGTCACATTTGGTACCTGGATGCCAGAATTAAGTACTTGATTATTATCAGAAACACCCACACTTCCCAATCACAGCATTACTACCTACATATACTATTTTCTTTTAATTTCAATAATAGATCTTAACTTGTGACCTAAAAAAAAATCCCTCTCTTCAAGTTAAAAAAAATCATTTTTCTTAAAGCTTCTTTGGCATACATTACCAATACAAAGTAATTCTTACTGCAGCTTTGAAATGTTCAATTCTCAGGAAGGAAAACATTCCTTTGGGACAGCAAAGTCTACATGAATAAAACTAAGAAGCAAGGTGACTTACAAACAAAACGCTGTTTCATTAAAAAAAAATCAGCTTTGGTAATAGAACAGAGTAAAGGATGACTAATTACTCGTCAGCTCTTTAAATGTGTGGGAGGGAAGGAGAAGCCTTTGAAACAGCTTTTAAATTTTATCAACACAAGGGGACAGTTTGGAAGGCTGTAATAAAATGTGCGATTCTGCATCAGGAAATATGGTGGGAAAAACAGAGAAATGATAAAGGGTGGACTCTAAACGACTGAGTTTGGAATTTATCCTACCAGACGGCAACAATTAAAATAGGTAATTTTTTAAGATATAAACAAAATTTCAAAACCTCAAGGAAAAGCCCTAACACAAATATGAAAGCAAGAAAAAATCATTTTGAGAAAAGGGATATGGTGAGGATACGGGAAGGTTGACTGACTGATTGATATGTATTTAAAGGAGGGTTTTCTCCACATAGCCCTGACTGGCCTGAAACTCAGTACGTAGACCTGGATGGCCTTGAACGGCCTCTGCCTCCCGAGTGCTGGGATTAAAAGCACCACATCTGGTGATATTAGAGCTTTTAATGCTTGGTTTAAGATCACCCACATACATGGTTGGTTCATGAGTGATCTTTACTATGACTGCAAGACTATGTTCAGGAATGCTGGATATGACATCTTAATATAGTGGAGGTGAATGAAATTCTCTAAAAATTCTGAGTACAGTTCGGCGGGGTGGCTTACGCTGTTACCCCAACACTTAAGGTATCAGGCAGACGGACCGCCCTCAGGCTGAGGCTACAGCCAGCCAGCGGGACACAGGCCACCAGGAGCAAGTCCAAAGCGGTAACTAGGCCGCCCACTAGGGTGAGCAGACGGAAAGGGACACGCTCTTCCTCCCACGAGAGACGAGAGAAAGATCAGCACGGCCGTGGAAGAAGAGCCGGGCATTACCTCCACCCACTGCGCCGCGGCGTCCCCGTCGGCCGGGCGCACTTGCAGGTGAGCGTGCAAGCATTGCTGCAGGAGCGCGCGGGCCTGCACCGCGTTGCTACCGTCCGCCATGACTCGGATCCGCACTGCGCATGCTCAGCTTAGGCTCCGCCCATCGCCCGTGGCTCCGCCCGCCGCCCGTGGCTCCGCCCCGAGAGGGCGGGGCCTCTGCCGGGCTCTGTTGAGTTGATCCACAGCAAATTTGGCCTTAGGCGGAATTCCCCGATAAAAGCGAAAAGGGTTTGTGTTTAGAGAGAAATTTTCTACTTAATCTGATCCTTGGATACTTTTTTGTTTGTTTGTTTTTGGAGGTAGGGTCTCATAGAGCCGAGGTTAGTAATGGTAGTCATGTAGGTGAGGCTGACCTTGAACTTCTGCCTCCTCCTCCTCCCAAAGGCAGGGATAGCAGGTGTGCACCCTCCCATCCCCCAACACCCCCTCCGGCTCTGCTTCACATCTTATGAAGAAACGTTTTTCACTTCAGAAAGCTTAGGTTTCTAGATGTTGAAAAAATGTAAGTCAGAGTTAAATCCATTCTATGCTCATTGTAAAGACAAGTAACTGGAATGAAATCAGTTGCTCTCGAAGCAGGCAGAGATGGAACTAAAACCGTGGGTCACAGGGGCCGCCTAAGACTACCGGAAAACAGATATTTACATTATGGTTCATAGCAGTAACAAAATTAAAGTTATGGCCGGGCGGTGGTGGCGCACGTCTTTAATCCCAGCACTTGGGAGGCACAGAGCAGGTGGATCTCTGTGAGTTCAAGGCCAGCCTGGGCTACAGAGTAAGTTCCAGGAAAGGCTCCAAAGCTACACAGAGAAACCTTGTCTCGAAAAAACAAAAACAACAACAAAACAAAAAACAAAAACAAAAAACAAAATTACAGTTATGAAGTAGCAACGAAAATAATTTTATGGTTGGGGTCTCCACAACATGAAGACTTGTTTTGAAGGGTTGCATCATTAGGAGGGTTGAGAAACACTGAACTAAAAGATAGAAATCTTCAATAATATTTCTTGCCCACTCAATAAAGCAATGCTGTCTCCTGTATCAGAAATGCTACAATTCTGATTCCGTAGTTGCAGAAGTTGTTAATAAGCTAAGTGAAAGCACTTTTGGAGACCAATTCTTTTTTATTATTTTTTAAATTTTCATATGTTTTAATTTTAAAATATAATGACATCACTTTCCTCTCCCTAGCCTCTCCCAAGTCCCTTCCCTCCAACTTCTTCCATTCCCCCCACTTACACTAATAACCTCTTTTTCTTCAATTACGATAGTTACATGTATATGTATGCACAAATATATAAATACAGCCTTCTGAGTCTGTGTTTGTTGTGTGATGGTTTCAGAGCTGATCCCTTTGTATTGGGTGATCAATTAGGGGGCTCATTCCTAGGAGAGGTTAATTCTCTCTCTGTATTCATTAACTCCCTGTAGTTTTTTGCCTAGGGGTGGGATCTAGTAAGATGTCCATTGCCTTTGTTCAGGCTTCATTTATGCAGCCATTTCTATGAGAGAATGTTTGACAGCAGACATCCTGGTATTCTGACTCTTATAATCTTTCTGCTCCCTCTTCTGAGAAGTTCCTTGAGCCATAGATGCAGGAGCATCTCTGATACAGATGTGATATGATGTAGATGGAGCCACTGGGGCTGGCCTTCCCACAATCCTTTGAGCTCTGCATTGTGTCCAGTTGTGGTTTTCTGAGATGATTCCCATTTTCTGTAAAGAGAGGATTCTATGATGAATGGTAATAGTTACACGTACCTGTGGGTACAAGGATAAGATTTAGAATATGATTAGGAATTATGTTGCTCTAGCAAAGTGGTGTGTAGTAGATTCTTTTCTGAGACTCATGACTTCACTACTCCCTGGAAAGCTGGCTAAGTTCTAGTACCAGGAATGATTTCCCTCTTGTTGAGTGGGTCTTAAGTCTAATTAGGCAGTTTTTGGTTACCACAGACTTGGGAGTGCCACTTATTGTACCTTTATGGATATCTTGCCATGATGGTCATTGTTGTGGTTCACAGGTGTCGCTGCTGGATTGGACTGTTAATTGCTTTGGTAGCTTGTATAGCATTTTCTGGTAGCATGGCAGCTGGATCACAGAAAGACTTTCAAGTTAGCTGCAGCTTGAATAGTCTGAATCTTGTATCCTAAGTGTATGGTGTCTTCAGCAATAGGGACTTACCTTCGGCCTTGTGTCCACGGTCACAAGAGTTTATGTTGTTTCGAAATTCCTTAGACTACCTTGATCTTATTATTTTACATTTGCCTAAAATTATACACAATACATATAAGTGTGTATCTATATCTATATCTATCTATCTATCTATCTATCTATCTATCTATCTATCTATCTATCTTAAAGGAAGTTATACCATTTGGGCTGACAGTGTTCCCCAGGAGAACTACAGACTCACAAAACCCTCAGTACCAGGCACGAGGAATCTCCTTTTGAATGGAGGAGAGCAATTCTTTAGAAAATATCCTTGGTAAGAATATTCTTCTCTCCGAGGTGATTGTTCACCAGTTACTGAACGTGATACTTAACACAATCCTACAACGAATTCTGATGCACCATTCTGTCGGTGCGCAATGACATCAAATTCTGTGATCCGTTTTCTTTAAGCACTTATTAGAATGTAAATAAAAGTAAACAGGGCTTGGTTTTCTTTCCCACGAAATCTATTCCTTGAGTGTGCATAGGATTAGCATTTGTTATTCACAGACGTGGAGGGTTTATCGGGGAAATAATGGTGTTACCCTGATTGCATTACTCAGGTCATTGATTTGGGCTCAGTTGGCACAATATATTCATGTCTGTTGTTTCAGAAGGTGACATCACTGACAGTTGCTGCTGTCCATACAAAGTAGTGTGACCAGAGAAAATAATCCATGCATAATCAGTAGTCTTTTGTACGTAAACTGAAGCTGCTGGTTGGCTGGTTATCTTGCAGCCTCCCTTACACTTTTAGTAAAAAGAAAATGAAAAAAAAATCTCACATTTTCTCGGATGGTTGCGTCAGGGGGGTTTCCACATTGGTTGCCATGTGTCTGCATAGCGTTCACAAGTTGAAGTGCTTACGCCCTGCACCTGTATGTCACTGTAACTATCGAGTCTGTATTCTGTCATTCAGAGCCCAATTTTTCCAAATCAAGAGGAACATTGCTATATCGACCTAAGCCGTGATCCGGGGTAAGGAAAGACTTTGACGTCCATTCGTATGAGTGTAGGAGATATGGAGAGCTCTTGCCCATAGAATGCATGGTTCCCAGGAGTCTTTGCATAACAGGGAACAATAGGAAGCCTTTTCTGTGGTTAGTGTTTGGGTGTTAATGGGCGGTGTCTCAAAAAATCACCGATTACTCCCCATTGAGTGAGACTCTTAGGCTGAGAATGTTAGTAGGAATCTAGCCATGTATTCTTTCCTCCTGCCTGCAGAGGGCAGTAAAGAGTAGACATTAAAGAAAAGCATTTTCTTTCTGTTTTATTTTATGAAAACTGTTCTCACAAAAAAACTCGTGAAAGTAGGACATGCATGCAATAGGATAGTGAAATGTGAATAAAGTTAAAAAGTAAGAGTAAAGAAAATTAAATTGCACCAGTAAATCACTAGTGGAGTGGTGGTTTTTGACTGGAATTCTGATACAGCATGTAACAACATTTTAATTTTTTGGAGACAAGGTCTCACATCCCAGGCTGACCTCAGGCTCACTATGTACCAGAGGATAACCCTGAACTCTTGATCTTATTCCTGAATCTCCCGGTTTCCACCTCCTGAGTGTTGAGATCACAGGTATGCATGGCCACACTTAGCTTACATGGTTCTGGGGACTGAATGCCCTGTGCATGCTAGACAAGCACGCTATTCACTGAGCTACAGCCCAGTCCTGTATTTTAGTTTTCGAAAGTCAAGCAGTCAGTCGTGTACATCACATGTGATGTCAAGGTGAAGCAGGTTGTACAATTTGATTCAGAGATAAAGGGAAAATATAGCATTAGGCCCGCTTTAGAGGAAGACTGTGGCACACTGGCTTGTAGGCAGCCTTGCATTGTGAGTACATAAGAAATGACTTTTGGGTGCTTGACAGACGTCTCGGAGGTTAAGAGCACTTGCTGCTCTTGGAGAGAACCCAGAATTGTTTCTCAGCACCCACCTGGTGGCTCACAACTGTCCGTAACATCAGTTCCTGGGAATCTAGTGCCCTCTTTCGGCCTCCAGAGGCACTGCACAGATTTAGTGCACTCTATACATACATACATTTGGGCAAACACAGGCATAAAATTTAAAAAAAAAAATTTTTTCTAAATAGGGAAGAAATTACTTCTCGGACACGAATGATTTTTCCAACAGTTACAATAATAAAAGAAACCATTAATTAACTTAACAATAGAGGTTAATTGTGTGTGAATTCTATAGCCCCATGTGATGGTGTGATAATTGATTGAGACTTGTTTTTAGTTGCTTAATTCATTCAGTTTGGTTGTCCCACGTTCTACCATTGAAAAGCAGTTCACAACCATGAGAAGTCTGGGAAACGTTTCTGAAAGATCTTGCGCAGGTGACTAAGTTCCCTGATAAAGAAGGAAAGATGTGGACAGGAAACAGAATCCGCATCTGCTTCATCCTTCCTGGGCTAGTGGAGGTTTTCCAGTGACTTGTTTCCACAGTGAGACTCTTAGCTGAGACTTTAGAGAGGCCTGTGTTATAAGAAGGGCTGTAAGAGGTAGACTTTCGTCTCACAGAAAGCGGATGGAATCCCTGCCCCGCCCCCGACTTGAAAGCCTAGAGACCTTTTCTTTCTTTCTCAGTGCTATTATTAGGAAGGTGATTCAGTTATGAGAAATTGATTCACGTGAGCTAAAATACAGAGAAGAGTGGCGTCGAATCAGAATTCTAATTTAGTTGGTTATGAGCGAGACTGCTATGACATGGAGTGGGAAAGCTCACATTGGCACATCTCACCTCCCGAACACAGGATATTTGTGACTGTGTTAGCTTGCTGTAGGAAGCATTTAAAGGTCTTCGTCATGACGCATTCTTCCCACTCGGACAGAGTACACAGAAGCCACACTGTTACTTGATGAATGAAGAG